TCCAACAACACAAGAGAAGACTCTAGACATGGACATCACCAGGTGGTCAATACCAAAAGCAGATTGTTTATATTCTTTGCAGCCAAAGATGGAGAAGCTTTATACAGTCAGCAAAAACAAGACTGGGAGCTAACTGTGGCTCAGATCATGAACTCCTTATTGCCAAATTCAGACTTAAATTGAAGAAAGTAGGGAAAACCACTAGACCATTCAGGTATGCTCTAAATAAAATTCCTTATGATTTTACAGTGGAAGTGAGAAATAGATTCAAGAGATTAGATCTGATAGAATGCCTGGAGAACTATGGACGGAGGTTCGTGACATTGTACAGGAGGCAGGGATCAAGACCATCCCAAAGAAAAAGAAATGGAAAAAGGCAAAATGTTTGTCTGAAGAGGCCTTACAAATAGCTGTGAAAAGAAGAGAAGCGAAAGGCAAAGGAGAAGAGGAAAGATGGACTCATTTGAATGCAGAGTTCCAAAGAATATAATCATTAGTATAGGGCTTGAGGAAAAACATACCCTTGAGCAAGATGAGTCGTTTTGTTGTGTAATCATTAGTTCTGGGCTTGAATAAAGTTGGTCTTAGGCAAAATAGATTGTTGCCATAACAACTCCGATCTTAAGAAAAAAACCATCTTATGTGATTAAGGTGAAGGAATGTAGAAAAATAAAACATTTGTATAAGGAGGGCCCCAGACTCCTTATCAACCTACCTCAGAATTAACTCTTAGTACAAAATAGATAATGATAGCAGCAGTGGTCAAGAGATCCCTCTGGGATGGATTTGTCCAGCAAGCTTCATGGACCTTCTTGGGGGAAACTTAATGATAGAGTTTAGATAGAAAGAAAGAGAAAGAAAAGAATATATTTAATCTTAAGTATGAATATATCTTGTTAAATTTTTTCATAAAAAGAAAAAGCATACAACATATTAACTGAATGGATTCTATTTCCTTTAAAAAAGGAATTTAGATACAGGTGTACTTTTCATGAAACTGTCTAGGAATGCTGTGGCATCTGGCAGAAACCTCCTTTCTCCCCTAGTTTTGCTTGATTTTCTCTCAAAATGATACAAAATAAAGTTCTCAAGTCTTTATTTTTAAAAAGTTTCTTTCATACTGCATTTTGGTTATCTTATTAAAATTTACATGTGTAGTGTTTCTATCATTTGAGGATTCATGTGTTTTCAGAATGCAGATTATATAAAATCAGTCATTTCTCTTAAGGAAAATATCAGGCTCATATTTTTGCCTTAAGGCATTTGAAGAAAAATACTACATCCTATCAACTCCAGAAGCTTTTCACTTCCTGCAGCAGTGTCCTACAGCTGAAAAATCACTCAAGATGTAATGAAGTGCTCTGTGGCCAACTCCAGACTTTAGTGTGGTAGGAATTCAGAAAAAGGAAATCAGAGAAGCTTGTAAAAAAAAGTCTTGATCCTGAAGAAAGTCTAGAATGTGATGTGTCATTCAGAGGCAAGAAAGGTTGACTGGGACCGGGAAAGATAGTACTTTATACTTGGATGTGTCTCTATAGTATGTGGGGATGCATGCATAGGTGATTTGTCAAAACTTAAATCCTTCTACCTATGTTTTTTCTAGACTTTCCAGTTTTCTCATTTTAATATCTTCTCAGCAGCTAAGCATAGAACCTTGCCTAGTTCAGTCACTCAATCGTGTCCAACTCTTCACAACCCCATGGACTGCAGCACATCAGGCTTCCCTGTCCATCACCAACTCCCGGAGGTTACTCAAACTCATGTCCATCCAGTCAGTGATGCCATCCAACCACCTCATCCTCTGTCGTCCCCTTCTCCCACCTTCAATCTTTCCCAGCATCAGGGTCTTTTCCAATGAGTCAGTTCTTTCCATCAGGTGGCCAAAGTATTGGAGTTTCAGCTTTAGCATCAGTCCTTCCATTGAACACCCAGGACTGATCTCCTTTAGGATGGACTGGTTGGATCTCCTTGCAGGCCAAGGGACTCTCAAGAGTCTTCTCCAATGCCACAGTTCAAAAGCATCAATTCTTTGGCGCTCAGCTTTCTTTATAGTCCAACTCTCACATCCATACATGATTACTGGAAAAACCATAGCTTTGACTAGACAGATCTTTGTCGGCAAATTAATATCTCTACTTTTGAATATGCTGTCTAGGTTGGTCATAACTTTTCTTCCAAGGAGGAAGCGTCTTTTAATTTCATGGCTATAGTCACCATCTGCAGTGATTTTGGAGCACCCCAAAATAAAGTCTGTCACTGTTTCCATTGTTTCCCCATCTATTTGCCATGAAGTGATGGGACGAGATGCCATGATCTTAGTTGTTTGAATGTTGAGTTTAAGCCAACTTTGCCTAGAATGGATAATAAAACTTAACTGAATTATATTTTTGGGGTAACGATTTCCTGCTCACACATTTACACTGTGACTCTAGTGCTGCTCACCCTTCTGTTGCTAACATGAAAGCTCCATGTGCTTTTACCTTGCCCATAGTCCATGTGTGCGGAGAGCCGTAAGTAATTCTTCCTCCACCTCCAGGCCCCAGATGGAGAGTGGTCCCATCAGTGGAGTAAGACCTGGCACTCATATCCACCAAGCTGACAGGCCTGACTTCCCATCTGTTGTTTTCCCCTCTGCTTGCTTCTTCAACTACGCACATCTCCTAGGCAATATATAACTTACATAGTATAAGTTATTAAAGGGCAGATGTTAAATCACATTCTCTATTTTGGATGAAGTGTAGATTGAAGGAATTGGGCATATTTCCAAGGGAGGTTGGCCCACATACACACAGGAAAAAATACCATAAACTCCCCTGCATACAATCTAAGCCAGATGATACAGGTGCATTTAACACCTGACAGATACATATAATGAGCCCAAGTATAAAACATTACTGTTTATGTGAAATGAAGTCTTATTTTTCATTCTAGGTAGAAATTCTTGCAAAGAAAGATCATTTCACTTATCTGCCTAAAGATGAACTATTAGGCAGAATATTATATATGGCTAATATTTATCAAGCATGATGTTTAACATGTATAGTGGAAGAGTTGGAAAAGATTTAAAAACTTTGAGGACTTCTAAAGAAATCAGAGCCCAAATTGCAGGTAGATAGAAGCATGTGCTTCTTCGTGTGTCTCACACACACACTGCATACACACTAGCTAATCAGTTCCCTTGGACTTAGAGTTCTGACAGAGCAATTTAATTCTTGAGTATGAAGCATAACCTAGTCCTGGATGACTTAATGATCATCCATTCCCTACTCAGGTCCTTGAGTAGTACTGGAAAGTTAGAATTATTGTCACCAAGCTCTTTCAAATTACTTCACTCTTCTGAACCTCATGTCCTAGTGTCAGTGTAAGTTCACTGAGCTAAAAGAAGTAGCATTTTTGTTTTCTTAGTTCCAGCATCTGCATGGGTAGCTCTTTTTATTTTGAAAAGTAGCAGATGTTAGACACCACTTCAAAGAATGTCTGACTAACTTTCTCATCCTGAAATTAAGGAAGAGCTTGGAAACATGTTCTTAAAGATATCTTTGGAATCGTTTGCATATTACTTTCTAATATCAAATAAATTGGGTATAAGAGGGGCAAGACTTGAGGTTCACTAAATATAACGGATCTAATTAATAAAATTGTATTTCTCTACTATTCAACCTGGTCAGGTAGGAATTATGAGTAATTTGCATAATATGTAAGAGATTAACTTTGTTTGTGCTTTTGAGATATTACTCCCTGTAGAATATTCTATTGCTTACTTTTTCCCATTCTGTACTATGCAGTTTCCCTAAGGAAACAAATTTCTAAAATATTCTTCCTCAGTTTTTCAAATCCATTGAGTAAAACTGAAATTTTGGGATGATGTTTACCCTACAGTTTTGTGTGCCTACCAATAAACATACCACTGAGCAGCCCAGGGGGACTCACTAGACCCTACTTTGAGAATAAAAAAGGGATTAAGGCTCTGTTTCTCCGGTCACCTAGGAAGCAGAATGTTTATCATTACTGGGAGAAAAGATACTCTACATCAGGTGCTCTTTTTCCTGAAGAGATCATCCCTTATGTCCTATGATGCTTTGATGAGCTAGCATGATAGATATCAGTCAGAATTTCCCAAAGGGAACTCAGCATTAATCAGTCACACACAGTGCCTTGCTTGATATGATTGGGAATTGTCTGGATTTCGGTCTGACCCTAATTTTCAGCCATTTTCAGAATGCAGCCAGAACACTGTAGCTTCCTTGCTTTAAAAGGGGGAGGATCCAACAAGCTGTAACTTTGGAAGCATTCCACCACATATTTTCATAGAAAGGCACGGGCTTCAAACAAAAAGTGGTGGTGCTGTGAGCAGCGTTTTTTGTGAAGTGCTGATAGGTGCTCATTTCTTCTCATTGAGAAGGAAAAGTTTGAGCTTCCAGAATATTCAGATTATCCAAGTATATCGTAAATATCACAACTTTATGAGTCTGGCTGACTATACTGACTCAACTGAATATTTACAAAAAATATCTCTCAGAAGTCTACAAAATGCCTTTGTCTTTAGACATCAGTAGGATAATGGCAGTTAAGCTTCAATTATCCATTAATTCTTTACATCACTATACATCTGGCAAGGAAGGAATGCACTACTTCCTTTTTTAAAAAGTCTTTCTTTAATAAAACTACTTATTTTAGAATTTTCTTGTGCTATTATCCTCAGTAACAGAAGGAATAGAAGACTGGGTGGTAGTGATGAATGCAAATGTATTATAGTTTATTTTAGAGCCAGAAAAGACCCAAAGCCATCTCTGTCTTCCTCTTGCCTCCTGCCACAATTAACCAACATTCTGAAGAAGAAATCACACAAAATTAGATAATAGTTTCAAGCCCAACATTCTTACATATACTGATAAACTAACATATTCTTATGTTTTGTATATTCTCAGCTGTATCTTTGCTTCCTCCTTTTCAATTATATTTTTCCATCATTGAAAGCTTCCTGTCCTTTCCTATTACAGGATTATAGCTGGACAGACATCCGCTGCCCCTTTGAAAAACGAAGAGATGCAGCATGCGTGTTTTGGGACAATGTAGTTTACATTTTGGGTGGCTCCCAGCTTTTCCCTATAAAGCGAATGGACTGTTATAATGTCGTTAAGGATAGCTGGTATTCCAAACTGGGCCCTCCAACACCTCGAGACAGCCTTGCTGCGTGTGCTGCAGAAGGCAAAATTTATACATCCGGAGGTTCCGAAGTTGGTAAGGACTTATTCAGTGTTTGTATTTGTGCTTTAAAGCCAAGTGTATATATAGGCTTTTATATCTAAATAAAGAGTTGGTATTATTTGTCCAGATACTTTTTGACATAATTTAAATACATAGCTGTCATATTTTAGAGCACATTTCCCTCAAGGTTTACCTTACTCTATAAATCATTGAGAACTTCATCTTAAATTACGTTAATTATCCAATTTCTGTCATGATAAAGCTTTCATTGATGTCATCTGGATTTGAACTTCATTGGTGTCATGTGAATTAGTTATTTTATATACCTAATCTTGGAGAAGGGAATGACAACCTGCTCCAGTATTCTTGCCTGGAGAATCCCATGGACAGAGGAGCCTGGTGGGCTACAGTGCCTAGGGTCACAGAGTTGGACATGACTGAAGTGACTTAGCACGAATGTACACATGCATACATATTATTTGCTTTAAAGATTTCAAATTTCAGAATTTGGCTTACTTGTAGACCCTTTAAGATCTCTTTATTATAGTCAAGCTTTTAAAATCTATTATCTTTGCTTTTTTTGTATCAGAAAAAGGTAAGACGAATCTTTTTCATTTGCTTCATGCTTTCACTTTTTAATGTAATGACTGATAATCGTGTCTGGGGCTTTTTGATCAGAACAGGGTGTGGGTATGGGTATAAAAGCCATTTTCATTGATAATTTGTTAGTGTCTACTAGTGTTTTCTAAATGAAAAAATTTTCTAAATGAATATTGTACATGCAGACTAGATGCATATTAGCTTTTATATGCTTCCATCTTTTCAAGTAATTTCTTTAGCTAAATAATGGGCTTATAAAGAAAACTAGGAAGACCAAGTAACTATAAGGTATGGAATTTAAATGTTAGTCTTTTTATTTTCTTTGATTTTTATATTAGCCCAAAGAATGTTTTACTTTTGGTCAGCATATTTATTTTTTACTCCCCACTCCCAAATGTTTGTAAAATGAATACAAGAAAGGTTATATTTTCTAAATGTGATTTTAGGAGGTGACCTTTCCCCTCTTTAAAAGCATTCTTCACAGAATGTCTAATTCAGCATATTTGAAATAACAATAAATCCTTAATATAGTAGGAAGTGTTTTATAGATATACTTTTTGTAGAAAGTAAATAACTTCATTTCTTAATCATTTAGTCTACTTAGTTTTTCACTTAAATAGTAACTTCTTTTGTATCTACTATATACTGTTTATTTCCCTTGTGTCAACCGACTGAATCTACTAGCTTGGAAATATTTAAAAAGTTAAAAAGATGTTACTGTTAGTCATGATATTACTTCTTGCATTTGGTATTCTTTGATCTTTGCTCTTTGTAGGCTTTGGTTTTGAAAGAGAATTACAAGGGTGCTATTGTTTTTAAACATTAGAAGAGTCGAGAAAACTGGGAGATGAGCAATAATTTCATTAAGTTCTAACTTCTTTTTTTTCTTGGGAAAGAAAAACACACTTGACCTTTAATAGTATCATTTCTAAAAAAAAAACTCTTTACTGAGCTCCTGTAGCGTGCAGAGGTTGTAAAACAGGATGAGTGTGTTTTACCATTAAAATGTATAATCAAAGAACACCAGAAACATAACAATGCTATGAGTGTATACTTAAGAATGGACTGGCATGATTTCAGAGCCTTCTTATACAACAATATTCTCTACACAGCTGATAACAGTGAGGAAGAATAGTTTTAATGATGCAGTGGCTATTCTAGAATATTAAATGACAATCCTTAGGATACTCTCAAATAGTAGTTTTATAATTTAAGGTATGGATTTGCCATCTGTAAACAGCTGTTTTTCTCCTCTAGAAACATTTAGTTAATTCCTGTCATGCATAACTGGGCTGGAAGACATAATAACGTTTCTTACTTAATTTGAAAATCTTCTGAAATCAAACCAGTTTCTTCTCTGAAAGTTTAATTACCAATTAACAAGGCTCTCTGACAGATCCTTTTTTGAATGTTTTCCAAGGCCTATACAAACAAGGATAGCTTTTTCTTAAACTATTTCTATGTTCTGCTATTGTTGCTTGAGAATAGAAAAGACTCTACAACCCTCAAACCTTTCCTCTAGGAATTAATGATGCAACTCCTCAGTCAGCTCCAAGCTCCCCCCACTACCACAACCCCACACACACACATACACACACACTAAGCTAATCAAGATGGGGTCCTTTTCTTTTACAGGAAACTCAGCTCTGTATTTATTTGAGTGCTATGATACGAGAACTGAGAGCTGGCACACGAAGCCCAGCATGCTGACTCAGCGCTGCAGCCACGGGATGGTGGAAGCCAATGGCCTGATCTATGTCTGTGGTGGAAGTTTAGGGAACAATGTTTCTGGGCGAGTCTTGAATTCCTGTGAAGTCTATGATCCTGCCACAGAAACGTATGTATCATCAATTTAAAAATCTTACGTCACTATTAACTGTATTCTTTAAGCTTCAAGGAGGAAAATCTTAAAAGGCAGAAGGAACCCAACAGAAGGATTTTGTTCTTATATTAAGAGTATATTACGTGGAGACGGGGCCGGCGGGGAGGAAAAAAAAAAACAAAACAAACAAAAAAAAAGAGTATATTAATACATACACTTTAGAATGGGCATTTGTATAGGTTGGACCCTTCCTCTGCACCTTAAGATATGGCTTGACCTTGTATCTTGTGGGAGCCCCTCTCTTTCTTTCCTGCTTGTTCAGTAAATAAATGCCTGAGGATGAGCAAATATGACTGATTCATCAAACTCAAAATGCCTTTTTTTTTTTTTTTTTGAGATATCAGGAAGTGTAGAGAGGGGAAAACAATGTACAATCAGTGATAAATTTGCCTTTAATTATAAATATTATATATTGGTTCATAGCTTTAATGAATCATAGCCCTAAGTATAGTGTCTTTTTTTTTTAATTTGTGCTTACTGAAGTATGTTTGGATTCACATTTATTAAATAAAATTATTCTTAATCAACTGGGAAGTAAACTTCTTTTAAAAAAGCAAAATATAAAGAAATAAATGGTTAGCCAGTTTTCCTGATCTTGTTAATGATGGAACCCATCCAGTACAGCCAAAGGAAATGTGCTAGTTACTGAATAGTGGGAGTGGTGGTAAGTATAGTGTAATTGACTAATGAGAAAATGAACACAGGTGATACTCCAGTCAGACCTTTTATTAATAATCAGAAACATACATAAACCTTTAATAAGAAAATTCACTTGTTCATTTGAAAGGATTGTTCTTCCTTTACCAGAAAAAGTTATTGGGTAAATATGTTCAACTTAAATGTTATGCCAAAGAACTGCACCAAAACTCTTGTGCTCAATGTTTGTATTTAGAAAATACTGCCGGGCTACAGAACATACAAGCCTTCTACTCTAGCTATTGCTTTTTTTAAGTTAAGAGTAAACATTTAATTTTAAAATGATTGTCATTCGCAGCTGCTTACTTGTGCTTCCCACCTACTTCTGGATTTAAGGAAGCAGAACCATTCACTCTTTCCCAGACTACAGTGCAGTTGCAATTGTTCTTTTCTCATTTTTTGCTCTACTAGTGTCCCGTGTTAGGAACAGAATTGAAAGAAGCTTATCTTGAAACTTGGGGCTTCCTTAGTAGCTCAGACAGTGAAGAATCTGCCTGCAATTTAAGAGACCCGGGTTTATCCCTGGGTTGGGAAGATCCCCTGGAGAAGGGAATGGCACCCCACTCCAGTATTCTTGCCTGGGAAACCCCATGCACAGAGGAGCCTGGCAGGCTACAGTCCATGAGGTCACAGAGAGTTGGACACGACTGAGCAATTAGCACTTCTATCTTAAAACTTATCTTTTGCTAAACTGTTGAGACTAGGAAATCTCTTGAGATCATCAAACTTAATACTTCTCAATGTTTTTAAAAAATGTACCTTTGTACTGGCCAGGGCTCACTGGGGATACCCCTTAACGTAATCTACTGTCCATCCAGCCAGTTAGCTATCCAGCCCCTCTTGTCCTAAACAGTAGGAGCAGGGCATATACAGATGGTCCTCCCTCCTGTATCAGTCTCTACTTTGCCTCCCATAGATTCTATACTCAGAAAGCATACAGGTGGAAAACTGTAATCTCGTTCACTCTGCTGCCTAATTATTGTTTCATTTCTTTAAAAGGTCTTAAAAGTAGAACCCATACCATATAAACTCCAGGCTTCTAAATTTTGAGATCTGTATTCAGGCAGTATCAGTGTAAATCAGTATATTCTTGTTCATAGTAGTGGGGGAAAAGTATAAAGGAATCTACAACATCAATTTTTTTTTAAAAAAACTAGGTGAATATAATCAATTTGGGGAATATTTTAAAACTTACACAACTTAGCATTTCTTTTGTATGTATTGAGCTTATGTATTAAATTTGAATTCTGTATATTTTCTATTACATTTAAATTTCCTAAATTTTCCTAAGTGAAAAGCTAGTGTAAATTCTCTTATATCATAAAGAAGGGGTATGTGTATTGAGTTCTTCCCCGTCAGATACTCTGTTTAATGCACTTTGGCAGCTCCCTGAGTGCAGAGCCTGTCAGAGGTCAAGTACAGGCTCTCCCACTTCTGAGTTGTATGCTGATCTTTTCCCCTGGGGGGTCCTGTGTGTTTATCCTGAAAAATGGAAGGTCTTTAACCAAATGCTCAGAAAATGAGAATAGTGACTGTCAGAACTATTTTTAAAATAAACCAGAAGTATGTAAATATAAGGCTACAAGAGTTGTTGATATTTCAGAGTTCTTCATTATGCTCTAAAAAGAAGAGTTATAAATAACCATATTAGAGAGTTATACTTATGCCAGATATCCCCCCCCCTTTTTTGTGTGTGTGTGTGGTTGTCTGGAGCCTTTTGATTTCTATCACCCATTAAGAGCACCACCTGCACAATCACAGGTGTCAGTTATATGTCTGGGAGTTTAGACAAAAAGAGAGATTGAATCTCATAGAAAAAAGTAACAGAATTGTGTGTTTAAAGCTACCTGTGAATTATTCTCTGACATATGTCCACATTATATTCTCAATCTCATTCTTTAAAATAGAGCCTGTGAACACAGCAATGTGCTCAGTTCAGCTCAGTTCACTCAGTCGTGTCCGACTCTTTGAGACCCCATGAACCGCAGCACGCCAAGCCTCCCTGTCCATCGCCAACTCCCGGAGTTTACTCAAACTCATGTCCATAGAGTTGGTGATGCCATCCAGCCATCTCACCCTCTGTCATCCCCTTCTCCTCCTGCCTTCAATCTTTCCCAGCATCAGGGTCTTTTCCAGTGAGTCAACTCTTGTCATGAGGTGGCCAAAGTATTGGAGTTTCAGCTTTAGCATCAGTCCTTCCATTGAACACCCAGGACTGATCTCCTTTAGGATGGACTGGTTGGATCTCCTTGCAGGCCAAGGGACTCTCAAGAGTCTTCTCCAATGCCACAGTTCAAAAGCATCAATTCTTTGGCGCTCAGCTTTCTTCACAGTCCTACTCTCAACATTCATACATGACCGCTGGAAAAACCATAGCCTTGACTAGATAGACCTTTGTTGGCAAAGTAATGTCTCTGCTTTTTAATGTTACCTAAGTTGGTCATAACTTTTCTTCCAAGGAGGAAGTGTCTTTTAATTTCATGGCTGCAGTCACCATCTGCAGTGATTTTGGAGCCCCCCAAAATAAAGTCTGTCACTGTTTCCAGTTTCCCCATCTATTTGCCATGAAGTGATGGGACCGGATGCCATGATCTTAGTTTTCTGAATGTTGAGCTTTAAGCCAACTTTTTCACTCTCCTCTTTCACTTTCATCAAGAGGCTTTTTTGTTTCTCTTCACTTTCTGCCATAAGGGTGGTGTCATCTGCATATCTGAGGTTATTGATATTTCTCCTGGCAATCTTGATTCCAGCTTGTGCTTTCTCCACCCAGTGTTTCTCATGATGTACTCTGCATTTAAGTTAAATAAGCAGGGTGACAATATACAGTCTTGATGTACTCCCTTTCCTGTTTGGAACCAGCCTGTTGTTCCATGTCCAGTTCTAACTTGCTTCCTGACCTGCATACAGAGTTCTCAAGAGGCACTTTCTAAACACTCTCTAAACACTTTCCTTAATTTTTTTCAGGTGGACTGAGCTGTGTCCAATGATTGAAGCCAGAAAGAATCATGGGCTGGTATTTGTAAAAGACAAGATATTTGCTGTGGGTGGTCAGAATGGCTTAGGTATGTGATGTTAATTCACTGTTCAACATTATCAGTGAATTTGCTGATATTTCCTTATCCTAAATTATAAAAATGTTTCTTGACATCTTGATACAAGCATTAATTACATACATCATTAGATTATTTTTACAGTTTCTGGGAACTAACACTTTATGAAATGTCATAATACATTTAACATGCCTGTCCGTGAATGTAGGTAACAGCCAGCAGTCATCGTGACAGCTTCAGATGGCTTTTGTATATTTCCAGATACCCTCTGGGGAATGGCATCACTCTAACTTAAGAACTGTTGAGTGACAGAGATATTTGAATACAGCTTTTAAAACTTGTAAATTTAGTAAATTTAACTTTGAGGTCTCGTATCCAGGCTCTGAATGGCACTGTTTCCTAAACATTTTTAAACACTTCATGAACTTATCAGTATTACTCTTCTAATTGATTATATTTGATATTTTTATTTTCATAAATAATGTTCTAAAGAATCTAAAGTTATTGCTTTAAAAAAAATTGTATTTATCTATTTTTGGCTGTGCTTGGTCTTCATTGACACGCAGCCTTTCCTCGAGTTGTGGCGAGTGGGAGCTACTTTCTCGTTGCGGTGTGCAGGCTCCTCTTGTTCGGGGCACAGGTTCGAGAGCGCAGGGGCTTCAGTAATCGTAGCCTGAGCCCCAGAGCTCAGGCTCAGTAGTTGCGGCACACGGGCGTAGTTGATCTGCAGCATGCGGGGTCTTCCTGGGTCAAGGATCAAATCCACGTCTCCTGCATTGGCAGACCACCAAGTCACCAAGGAAGTCCAAGAAATTGCTTTTCATAATGTAGAATTTGGACTGAATCTACAGATAGATTCCACAAAGCTCATTTTAGTCAGTGCTTTTAACCTTTGAGAATAACAAAGAAATAACTTATTTTCCTTCTTCTGTCTCTTTCTATTGCTATTTTTCATAAACTGCTGACAGATAAATGGTAGAAGGAAAACGAACATTTGAATAATTATAATCAAACTTAATCAGAAAGGAACTTCATTGAGTGGTTTCCTTTTTAATTTTTCCAAGCAGACAGAACATTTTTAGTTTTATAGAATAAATTTTAAGTATTTACGGTTCTAAAATGACAAATAAAAAAGTTAAATCCCTATTGTGTTAAAGTCAGAATAAGAATTTAGATAGTAGATGTGTAACATTGTTACAACTTTTCTGTATGTTTGAACTTTTTCATAAAAAATGTCTGGAAAAATATGAAGAATTAATACTTGAAGAGATTGTAGAATTGTTCACAGTTCATGTTTTTTTTCTTTTGAAGGTGGTCTGGACAATGTGGAATATTATGATATTAAGTTAAATGAATGGAAGATGGTCTCACCAATGCCATGGAAGGGAGTAACAGTGAAGTGTGCAGCAGTTGGCTCTATAGTTTATGTCTTGGCTGGTTTTCAAGGTGTGGGTCGACTAGGAAACATCCTTGAATATAATACTGAAACAGACAAATGGGTCGCCAACTCCAAAGTCCGAGCTTTTCCAGTAACAAGTTGTTTAATTTGTGTTGTTGATACTTGTGGAGCAAATGAAGAAACCCTTGAAACATGAAAAATGAGTGAACTTTCAAGATTCATTGGAGGCTCAAAAATATGGCCACCGTGCTTTGTTCCAAGAGTGCAGTTACAAAATTTTAGTTTGGTTTTTTTTTTTTTTTCCCCCAAGGAAGTTTCAAGTAAAGTAAGATTCATGTAAAATAGATTTTCTTTTATATGAATTTACTTAATTGAAAGACCATATTTCAGCCGGCCATATAACCAAGAACAAATCTAGCAAGAAAACTTGTAAAATTATAAGCACTTGGTGAAAATATGAATTCTTAAATGAATTTCACATTTGTTTAAGTATGATTATGGCAGAATGGGGGACTGACTCATGATTGAAGCAGTCTCATGCTAGCTCTAGATTCTATTTTCATACATCATAGAAGTGCTATGTAGTTATGTCTGTTTCTTTTCAGTCAAAAACTGAGAAATAGTATGAATTGTAAGTCAAAGATAGTTCTGATGGAGCAGCTTAGTCTCATATAATTTGCTTGTCTTCATTTGTTCCATTTAGTGCCAAATGTATTCCATTTTAAAAGCAAGCCAGAGTGAGTGAAAGCATACACTCATATCTCATAAAACCTCATAAATACATTTTGGGAGTTAAAATGTAATCAACTCCTCATGAAATATATTCAGTACAATTAAATAATTCTCTTTTTAACACAAAATGTGAAGCTTAGCACCCATCATTAATTTACGTCACTTTTTTAACCCAGGGATTAAGAAAGGATTATACCTCCTCAGTGCTCACTCTGTTAATATTACCTAGCAAAAGAAAGCTACTTATAGCAAATTCTAGGTCACTAGAATATCACTGATAGTTATACACTGTCAATGTTGAATTTGAACTTCTTATAGATTAAAAAAAGGTACATAATTTCTCTTCCTTAGCATAACATATCAGCAAATTTGACCCAGTTGTCTCTACAAGTTTTGTAATTTAGTTAAATATTTGTCATATTAATTACTTATATGTGATCAGTAAATCCTTTATAAAACCAACTGTTCATTTCTTTCCTAGTAATGTTTTACCCTTTTACATTATGAAATGTATGGAATGAGCCATGTAAAGCTGTCACCATCAATGTTTTTAAACCTGATAATATTAAATATTTTTAAACTTCAAGTAGACTGCTAAGTTCATTCTTCACTTTAAATGTGTTAGGTAGTTTTTGTTTTTAACTTGGAAGCAATGTTTCTTTTTAAATTTTTATTCTTTATATGAGGGTTATAATCATAAGACCTAAAAATGTTTAAATGAAAAGGGAATTATAAAAGATTATGGTAGATAAATTTCCATTTATGTAAGGCTTTATGTACGTTACAGTTCTATTAATTTATGTGTCATACAATTCACTTGTTTAAAATGTACCGTTCATTGATCTTAAATATGTGCAGAGTTATGCAAGCACCACCCTGATTATGGAACACTTTCTTCACCATAAAAAGAAACCCTATACTTATTAGCAGTTACTCTTCATTTTCCCTGGATTACTTTCTAATGGCTGTCATAACAAGTTACCATAAACTTCATTGCTTAAAACAACAGAAATTTACTCTTTCACAGTTTGGGAGGCCAGAAATCCTAAATCAAGGTATTGAAACGGTTGATTCCTTCTGGAGTTCCTGAGGGAAGAACTTCCCTTGTCTCTCCTGTAGCTCCTGGTGGCTGCTGGCAAGCCGGGTATTGTTGACTCATAACTGCATCACTCCAGTCACTGCCTCTGTCTTCACATGGCCTTTTTCCCTGTGTGTCTGTCTTCTGGTACTGTTAGAAGTCACTGGATTTAGCTCACCCTCCTCATTGGTGAAGGGCATGGCAACCCATTCCAGTATTCTCTCCTGGAGAATCCCATGGACAGAGGAGCCTGGTGGCCTACAGTCTGGGGTCACAGAGTCAGACATGACTGACGCAACTTTGCACACACTTAGCATGCACGCACGCACCTCTTTATATTTTTTAAAATTTATTTATTTTGTAATTGAAGGATAATTGCTTTACAGAATTTTGTTGTTTTCTGTCAAACCTCAACATGAATCACACATCGTTTTATCTTAACCAATGACTGTCTCCAAAATAAGGTCTCATTTTAGAGTTTTAGGGAGACATCACTCAACCCATTTCTATCTCCCAAAGGACCCCATCCCTGGGTAACCATTAATCTTTCTTTTTCTAGATTTGGTTATTCTGAACAATTTTATGTTGGGTTTTGACCTTTGCTCTCTATTGGGAAAAATGTGTAATATTTTTGAGGGCAGAATATTGATTTGTCATATCGCAATTTGGTTATATTATGTAGTTACTTAATATTACATAAATAATTTCCCATATGGAATACACAACTGTTTAAAGTATTTTAAATAGATTACCCATTTCTTTAGGCTGTATCTGCTGACTAGAACACACTATAAGTATGCAGATAGCTTTGATGTAGGTTAAAATGAAGTGTGTGTGTATATTTCCTTAGTAACCTTAGTAATTCTAATTGTCTGTTTTCTGTCCTGGAAATAGTCTATGACATTGTTGATATCAGGATAATGAGTATAATATGTTGGTAAGTACATTTTCTATTGCTCTCCCACCCAAAATTCCTATCCTATAAAGTGCTCTATTTTCTTTTTAGTAGACATGTGATTGTTAATACTATATTTTTTGCAGTGATACTACTTAGATAACATAACAATTCAGTTTATACTTTTGAAAATCACAGTGTGAACATGAAATTTTAATGTCTTAAAAAAATTTGTTGCTATCAAAAACATTAATTACAATTGTGACCTAGCTTTGAAAAACCTGAAAAATTTAGTCATGAAAAGGAGCCATTTTTAAAAACCAGCAGTCTGTATTTCTGTTGAAATGTCACTCTTACTAACTAGAAAGCATTTTTACTTTCCAGAGCTTTAGTCTCTTCTGATAACAAAGCTGTAAAATGGGATTCAAGGTCTGGTTTATTCAGTTCTTTCAGGGGATTTCCCTGTCTTCCAACCATCCATTGAATTTGTGAGCACTATCCTTGTGTAATCTCCAAGAGCATTTTTCTATTTATTATTGTCCTCCTCTGTTGGTCTTGTTTCAGGTTGTCCTGAGGACATTTTAGTTTGCTTGTGTGTGTCACTCAGTTGTGTCCGACTCTTTGCAAACCCGTGGACTATAGCCCGCCAGGCTCCTCTGTCCATGGAATTCTCCAGGCATGGATCTTCACCACCCAGGGGTCAACCCAGGTCTCCTGCATTGCAGGCAGATTCTTTACCATCTGAGCCACCTTAACATTACTTATGCTATTGGTGTGTTTCTCTTTCTTACTTCTTTTTCAATTGCTTCGATCTTTTCTTTTGGAATCTTTCCTCAAATATCTGGTCCTTGGCCACGCATTTATATTTAAAAATGAGATGTTAAAAAATTGTGAACTTTCATGTACAAGTGTGAGCTGAAATGAGCTGAAGGATTTCTGAGCTCAGGAAAAGCACCATTCAACAGGCATAGTTTGGTTCCTCTTTGTCAGTACCATAACTTTCCCCTCTATATTTACATCCTAAACTCTGAAGCCTCTCTTCTTACCTTTTTGTCAAGAAAAACACCTATTTCCCATCAGGTAGGGGTGAACAGTTAACCCTTTTGCAATACCTGGTGGTTCTTAATTCTTGAGGCCTCTTAATTTTCAACCTTTTCTGGGGACATCAGTTGTCCACCTTAAAGGAATATGACTCTTCGTCTAAGAAATTTACTGTGTACTCTTCTATGTACATTCAGTCTTCATAAATTGTGGTTTGAAATTATGGTTATCTCCTAGTATAATCAAAGACAAAGTTTTTGCTTGTTTTCCCTCTTATTTTGAGATATTTTTAAGCGGTAAGGGAGGCAGAGGTATTTTTATTCTGTCACCTTGAAATAAGATATTTTCTTCCTATGGCCTCATTCTCCTGATTTCCATCTACTCCTCCCCTATCACTGCTGAGTTCTACATGCCTCAGCCCTAGACTCTCATCATCTCACACAGCACTTTATCTTCTCCACCCTCACCCTCATTTAAAGCTTCAGCCTAACTAGTGTTATTTTAGGTCTTTGATGTCAGCAAAGTCCTTATACATGCTGGCATCTGCATGGATGAGAAGTCATTGGCCACAAAGAGAGATTGGTTACCACAAGGGGACTGCTCAAAATACATATGTTAAGAATAATGGGAGCCAAGTTTCTCACTGTGAAAGAGGAAAAATAAATAATAAAATGAATTCTGTGATCTTGGATTGAAATTGGAGGTTATCAAAGTGTGAAGTCATACATATAGAAACCAAAATGTACATTGATGTAAATGTATCTGTCTATAGTATATATCCTCTAGCAATGCCCATGAAAGGATTTGGGAACAAAGATATTACAAAAGCAATGAACAAACTTAAGAGCTCAGATCTTGGCTTCTAAGTACCACCCAAAAAGACCCAGGACTCCTTGGATAGCAGGGAAAGTGTCAGATGACCCTGGAGCATCTTTTAGGCCAGAAAGTGAAGTGCTCAAAGAAGCATGAGATGTTTCAGTTGGGAATGATTTGCACATGAAAATAAATGATATTAACAAAGTATAATCCAGTGAATAAAATTGAAAACTCTTAAGTCCATATTGATAGGAATAAATAAAGGAGTGAATTAAAAGTTTGGTGAGGAATGAGGTTTTACATACTTTCAAAGTCTCTCCCTTTTGTTATTAATAACAAACAGGAAAAGAGTAATTTTACAGTGGAGCAGCTTGCCAGATAACACCTGAAGTGATCAAAGTGAACATCACAATTAATGGGACAAACTGATGTGCACAATCTGACAGGTGCATTGTGAAGACCATGGATGCCAAAGATGCATAATCTAACTCTAATTAACAAAACACTTAAGTCTGCATTAAGGAAATTCTATAAAATAGCTGTAATCTTTAATAAAGTCAAGGTAATGAAAGTCAAGGAGAGACTGAGATAATAGTCCAGAATGAAGAAGCCTGAAGAAATATGAGTAAGGCAATGATAATTTTGAACTGCATCCTTGTCGCTTAAAGGACATTATTGGGACGTTTTTAAGGCAAAATATGAATAGAATCTAAGGATTAGTAATATGCAGCAATACTAATATCCTGATTTTGGTTATTATTTTGTGGTTAAGTAGGATGTCCTTGTTTGTAGGAAATAAAATAATTAGGTGTTGGGGCATCTATAATATAGTCTCAAGTGGTTCAGGAAAACGTTCTTTGTATTATACCTACATGTAACTCTCCCACAATTTTTTTTTTCAAGAGAAATGAAACGAATTAAAAAATATATATATACTAAATTGCACCAGTTATTCTCAGTGCTCTGTAGATTCCACTGTCTTCCAAATTCAAAGTATATGAGCAAGAACAATGGCTAATCTTTTTATTTTAAACTATCAGGGACAAACCTGTAATCCAACAGATCTATCGCCTCACTGCAACCAAGGAGATGGCACACTAGAGGAACTGTAGTGTGTCTCACCACACAATGGAAAAGGTAGTCGTAGGATTAGTGGGAAAGGTGGAGTTCAGGTAAAATCTAAATGAAACGTGAAATCTAAAATCTAAATGATGCATGAACACCAGATCAGGAGTGAGAAGTGGATCTAGGTCATGTTTCCTTGGAAACCACAAACTTAAGAGGATATGTACTGTTTTTCGTTTTTTTCAGGAATCCCCCTATCCTCAGCTCTGCACCTGGTTAGAAATAGAAGCTGCTTCTCTGTGTCGGGTGTCTTAGATCCACTAGGCAACGAGTGGAATATTTCATTATTACTGATAAAAGTTGACATAGCAACGTTCACGTAGGTTTTAAAAGAACAAAGTTTCTCTGCGGAAGAATGTAGTACTCACCCAAAGATGCCGGTTGTTATACTTTTTAGTTGCAGTTTGTCCTTAATCTGTTTACTGTAAACGTTACTACTGGCTTACATTGTTACCCATCCTGATGAACGGCTGGCCAGGTTTTTACTAAGCAGTTACAAATGAAAATAGGACTATGCTTCTCAAACCACAGCTAATACTCCTCCCAAGGCTGAAGTCCTTGGTTTGCCTGACCAACTGTCCTCTCATTTGAGATCTCAAAGTACTTCGAACGAGACCCTGCATCAAGCTCTTAAGCGCCTTTCTTCGCAAAACCATTCAAGCATCCCGCCCTCCCAAGGTTGCGCTCAGCGCGTGCGGGGCGGACCCACTATTCTCAAATCTTATTGGGTAAAATCCTCGCCTCCCATCACACTATGGGCGGGACAATAGAGAAAGGGCCTTTACCAGGCGCAAGAAGATGACATCACAGTAGCGGAGCCGGGACCTCCGGTTGCTCTGGGTTCTGCTCGCCGAGGGTGCTAAATGAAGACCGCTCCGTTCGAGATACCGTCGCCATGACCATTTGTCAGTTCTTCCTTCAAGGCCGCTGCCGATTCGGAGACCGGTGCTGGAACGAACATCCTGGCGCCAGGGGTGCGGGCGGAGGACGGCAGCCACAGCCCGCAGGTGACGTTTTCCTCAATCCTTCGCAGCTAGCCGAGCAGGGCAAAGCCTGACGTGGGACCGGGCGGGCGAGGATCCGGCGTCTCTCCTGGGGCCAGCCGCTGGGCACAGCGCCGCGGCGTACCCGTCAGGTGACGCGGACGTGCCCGCGCCGTGCCCTCGCCCGCCCCGCCCACTGACGTTTTCGCCTTTGATAGGAATTACGGCTGATTTTGTTAAGCGGACTGCAGCTTATTCGTGGTTACAGTGAGAAACAACGAATTTTAAAGTTGGAATTACATATCAAAACTACCTAGTCTTTGCACGGCAGTGGTTCCAGAATTGGCGTAGGTCGACCTAAAGGCCTCCTTGCTGTAACATTGTACTACTTTTCTGCATACTTGTTTTTCCCGTTGATGCTTTTAATGTAATTTTTTTTTTTCTAAACTTTTTTCTAGGGAGAGGCTATAAGTGGGGTCAGAGTCAGGGCTCTTTGGGGAAGTCGTGAACTCCTTTGAAAATCTAATAAAAGCTACAGAGCCGTAAACCTCATGTAAATGCACATGCTTATAAAATTGGAGGTAAGATCGGGAGAGTAGGCTGCTCAATTAAGAACTCAGGGCTCTGAGGGAGAGGTATGCAGGACTACGGTGACCTGCCTTCTGGGCCTAAGTCATTGTCGAAATTGGAATATTTCACTAAATCAATTGTGGATGATGCAAAGGAACTGTCTTCGAGGAGAGGAGGGATCCGAAGTGAATCTATAGTACAATTCAAGGTTTTAGAGGTCAAATGAATAGTTAGATTTTCTTAGAACTGAAACTTAGTTCTTAAAAAGGACCACAGGATGCTGACCACCTCGCCTTTCTCTTTCCTCCTGTGCGGCTACTCATCTGACCTTTAAACCGTTTGTTACACTGTGGTTTCACTTTTATACCTCTTCTAGAAGACAGTCTTTTTTAATTCCCCACAATTAGTCTAGTGAAATATTCCAAACCAAAAATTAGGACTCAGGATCAGACAAATGTGAGTACTTCCAGGAACAACAAAACATAATATTTAACATTGTGTGGAGACTCACTCTGAATACAGTACAGAATAAATGTTGAATGGATAGATTGATGGATTTTAAAAGTGTAAATAAAACTAGTTAAATAAACAGTGTATCTAATGCCCAGAAATAAATAAATGCTTGCAGAATCAGTGAGTAAGAAGGCCAAAAGCTATCTCCAAATGATGGAATGAATTTCTTCCATTGTGAAGGAAAAAAGATCACAAAAAAAAGAGATTGAACTCTAGAAAAATACAATATTATTAACCCCTACTTGCGGGATCTAATCTAGCAATGTGCCCTCTTTCCTCTTTGGTTTTGTTAAGTAGTTTTAGAATTGGGAGATGAATTTTTTTTAAAAGAGTGTATCTCCCATCACTCCAGTTTTATTATACATATTTAATAGCATGTCTCCTAATTCAGTTAGAAACATGGTGAATTATCTTGGCCCCAGCTGAGAAGTGATGAATAAATGATATAGTTGAAGTGATAAGATTTTTTTAAAATATAGAGACAGAAAGGAGAAAGTCCTTTTGGCTCATTTTGATAGTTAAAAGAATACTAAAAATATGCTTATAATAGAGGAAGTCAATGCACTTTATTCATATGTAAACTACCACTACAATTCTCATATGGAAAATAGGAGGATAGGTGTTTTCTTTCTCAGAATACTGAGTCAAATAGATTTACCCATCTATGAAGGACAGAAGGTAGAATCAAATCTTTTCAATAAACTTCTTAATACATTGCTCTTTTTTCAGATTTTACAACTATATAGGGCCCAATTGGGGAGCAAAGGATGATAGAGATACAGCTTTTTACCATGAAGGAGCTTATGATATAAGTTACATGCCTTCTGTCCACTCGATTATCAAACAATTGTTTATTTAATAAACTTAGGTCAATTGAATTTAGTAATATAATTTTACTGTGGATTTACAGTCCTCTCAGTCTTGTTGAATGAGATCATTGTGTGATTTGTTGCTACTGTGTGTGTGTTTGTGTGCTCACTTGCTCAGTCGTGTCCGACTCTTTTGCGACCCCACGGGCCCTAGTCCTGCAGGCTCCTTTGTCCGTGGGATTTCCCAAGCAAAAATACTGGGCTAGGTGGCCATTTCCTTCTCCAGGGCATCTTCCCGACCCAGGGATCAAACTTGCATCTCCTTCACTGCAGGCAGATTCTTTACTACCAGGGAAGCCCCTTTGTTGATATTACACTTAATTCTATAAATTGAAAATGAAAAGTAATTTAAAATGAGTGGGCATGTAGTGCCTGTCGAATCTTTACATAATATCTGCATATAATAAGACAAAATATAATGAAATTTTTAGAGATTGAAAGCATGAGTTGCTAGTAAAATTGTTTATTTTGTTGTTTATTTCAGGTAGTAACAGAAGAGGATGGAATACCACCAGTCAGAGATACTCCAATGTTATCCAGCCATCCAGTTTCTCCAAGCCTACACCATGGGGGGGCAGCAGAGATCAAGAAAAGCCATCTTTTGCTTCTTTTGATTCTGGAGAGTCCACTAGCAAGAACAGGGGATTTGGCTTATCTCAGAACCCATTTGCTTCACCTGGCTCTGATGACCAGAAAGATGATAAGAAGCTTCTGTAAGTGAAAACCTTCAGAAAAATTACCACCCATTTGCTTTTTTTTTTCCAAAAGCACCCATAATATTTCCTTAAAAAAGAAGTAACCTTATTACTTTATTAAGTTGTTATAAAATCAAAATAAGCAAAAGGAGAAAAAGGCTCCATGATCAGAGGTAATCTCTGTTTTGCAGGTGTCATGCTAGACTTTATTTCAACTTAAAGTGTGATTCTTCTGTATCACTGTCTCCTTGGGGATAGTTACTCTTTTTCCACTTTTCTATTGATGATACTGTACTGTGAATATTTTTCTAAGGTAATCCTGCTTATGTTAAATTATGAGTTCTTTACAAAGTATGAGGTGATTTAAAGCAGTTTGTGATTTTGGAGGTCATTTACAGCATCTTGTATTTCTCTTTCTGTAATAAAACTTTTGCTTCAGTTACCTCATGCAAACTGATTTCATTTGATTTTCCTTCATTATTGTGGAGTATATTTCTTATCATTTATTGAGAACATTTGTAGTAGAATTTATGACTGGTGCTGGAACAGTGCCTGGCTGTATATAAATGTTCCCTCAGCTCCCAGCAACTAGGACAGAGCTTAAATATATTCATTAGTCTTTTATATCCCATAATTAAATTAGAACTAGTTGTAAACATTTTGAGCCATGTATCATACACAATTGAGTAAGTAAAATAAAACAAATGAAACATTCCTTCCTATATTTGATGTTGTAAAAATCCTAAATTTTAGTATTATTTTATTATCAATTACCATTCTTACTTCATTAATTGTGCTATTCTGGGTAAAAGGGAAATATTTAACTTAAAGCTGAATATATCCATGACTTTTCTAACAAATTAACCATGGACATGAGTCTGTTCTATTTTTGCAAAATGTGAGTATTAGGCAAAATGATCTCTGAAGTCCTACCTACTTAAATATTTTATGGTTCTTTATTATTTACTGGTTCTTTCTTTCCCAGTTAAATGATCATTGATGTTAGTTATAATGAACAGAGGAAGTTAAAGTTTAATATTGGGTATTTTAAAATGTTAAAGTTAATATTGTGTATTTTATATTTCAGTTCTTTAAGATGTATATAGTACTATAGTGAGTTCTCAATAAATATATTGATTAATGGTTCAGTGTACTGGAAAACCAAAATTATAAATGTATTTGATATTATAATATTTATAATCATGAAGTGCAGCTCATATTTTTGTCAACTTCTGCTTTGAAGGACACTTCAGAAAAGATAGTGGAAAAATCTAAAATTATATATTTGCTATAACAGTCACTGAAAGTTATCAATGATAAATTTTACCAAGCAGAAGAAATAGATCTTTTGCCTTTTTTTTTTTTTTCAGGGAAGGAATTGTTAAAGATATGGAGGTTTGGGAATCATCAGGGCAGTGGATGTTTTCTGTTTATTCACCGGTGAAAAAGAAACCGAATATTTCAGGTAACTAGAAATTATGTGTTTTTAAAATGTGTTTTACCACTATTATTTTCTAAAACCAAGACCAGGTCAAAAAAAAGAAATTAACCAAAAATTTAACCACAGTTAGGGGAGTTTGAACATTGTTTAAAATACCTGAGTATTCTACCAGAACTTTGTAATTCAGAGATTGAGGTTGGAAGATATAGTTCAAGATATATTGATCCCGTGAGAAAACCAGTAAAATGAGGTCTCGCCACATTTCTAATTCTGTAAGCCTAAGAAGAGGCTCTACTATCTTGGTTCCCTGTAGATACTACTTCAGAACCTTTAGCTGCCTGCAGAGAATAGAAGAATCATATTATGCCTGTCATTGGGCTTTCATTCTGTTCTTTCTTTCCTCTTTTTTTCTAAGGATAGTTATTTTTAATAAAGCATATTGATACCTCTTCTGGAGGTAATGTTTGAAGTTAGGGAGCCTTAGAATACTCCTTTTTCCCCCACTTTCTTTTGTCCATAGCTCATTTGGGGCTGAAAGCCAGACCACCACAGTTTTCTAAGCCTGCTCTGGGTGGTCCTAGGCCCTGTGCAGTTGAACAGGAAGTCACTGGAAAATGAGGGCCCTTTTAGTCTCTCAGAACTCTGGAATTTCTGTCTCTGGAATTTCTGTCTCTGTTCTACCTGCTCATTCTTTGTGAGCATTTGTGTCACACCACTCCTTAGTCATTTATTTACTAATCATTCAACAAATACTCATTGAATTTCTTTTTTGCCAGGCCTCATTCTAGGTGGTAGAGACATAGCAGTGAGTAAGATAGCTAAGATCCATCCCTCATGAAGTTTATGTTCTTGAGGGATGGAGGTTATAAGCAATACAAATAAATCATTTTAAATAATGATTTTTCTGTAAAGGTAATAAGTGTTAGGCCTTTTTTAAAAATTTCAGAATTGGACATGGCTAACCAGTCCATCCTGAAGGAGATAAGTCCTGGGTGTTCATTGGAAGGACTGATGCTGAAGCTGAAACTCCAATACTTTGGCCACTTCATGCAAAGAGTTGACTCATTGGAAAAGACCCTGGTGCTGGGAGGGATTGGGGGCAGGAGGAGAAGGGGACGACAGAGGATCAGATGGCTGGATGGCATCACTGACTCGATGGGCATGAGTTTGAGTAAACTCCGGGAGTTTGTGATGGACAGGGAGGCCTGACGTGCTGTGATTCATGGTGTCGCAAAGAGTCGGACACGACTGAGCGACTGAACTGAACTGAGCTGAATGTCCTAAAGCAGTGGTTCTCAGTGTAAAATATAGATCCCTCAGCAGCATTGTTAGATAAAATATAGGACGTCCAGTTAAATTTAAATTTCAGATAAGTAATGATATTTTTAGTATATGGATATCCCATGTACTGTTTGGGACATACTTATACTTTTTTGTTTTTTGGCTTTGGCCTTAACATATGGCTTGTGGGGTGTTAACATTCCCTGACCAGGATTTGAACCCAGGCCCTTGGCACTGAAAGCGTGAGTCTTAACCCCTGGACCACTAGGATATACTTACCTTTTTAAGTATTTGTCAGAAATTCCAATTTAATTGGGCATCTTTTTTTTGTGTGTGCCAAATCTGGCAACCCTATTCCTGAGATCCTTTTTTGGGGCTATACAAGTTTAGAAATATTCTCATAATAATACTGAGACATTAATTGCCGTTTTCACTGTGTTGACATTTGTACTGTTGGTGTAAAGCTGTAGATGAGGTACAGGCAACAGACTACTAGTAGATTGTAGTAGTCAATAAAAAAAATTTTTTAATGACATTTTCACTTAAAAATGTCCCTGATGGCTGGTGCACTAGGATGACCCAGAGGGATGGGATAAGGAGGGCTGTGGGAGGGGGGGGTTCAGGATGGGGAGCACATGTAAATCCATGGCTGATTCATACCAATGTATGGCAAAAACCACTACAAATTGTAAAGTAATTAGCCTCCAACTAATATAAATAAATGAAAAAAATTTTTTTTAAAAAAAGAATGTCCCTGATGAAGAGGTAAAAGTTATTAATTTTATAAAGGTACACCTTTTTAAGTATTCTGTGTACAAGTGGGAAGCACACATAGAGTAACATTAACAAATACGAATTTTTTTCTACTGTAAGATGACATGTGCTAACATTTGGAAATTCTGGATAACTCAGTGAACCAGTATTTTCCAAATGACCAGTGTGTGAAGTTACAAAATTGTGCATGGTTGAAAAATTCATTCTAAGTGAAGTGATGTGAAAGGCGCTCAGTTGTGTCTAACTGTGACCCCATGGACTATACAGTCCATGGAATTAACCAGGCTAGAATACTGGAGTGGGTAAACCAGTTAATAGTTTGGCTCATTAATATATCATTAATATGATTTGAGTCCACATTATAGCTAACCTTTAAGAAACTATTGCCTGTCAAGTTTTGGTATTGTACCAAAGACGAATATCCACAATTATCTGAAAAGACCACTAAAGTCATCCTTTCCCAGCTACATATCTGTGTGAGAAGAGTTTTTCTTTATATACTTGAACCAGGCAATGTATTGAAACATATTGAAGCTGATTGAATAGCAGAAGCAGATATTATAATACAGCAGTCTTTCATTAAGCCATGCATTAAAGAGATTTGCAAACATAAAACACTGCCACTTGTATCACTGAATTTTTATTTTTTGTTTTGAAAAATAGTTTTTTCATTTATGTTGACACATTGATTTCTTTTTTTTTTTTTTTTTTTTTTTTTTTTTTTTTTTTAGTTCTACCACTTTATTGCTACCAACCCATCTCCCTCCACTCTCGTGCACACATGCTCAGTAATGTAACCCCATGGACTGCAGCCCGCCAGGCTCCTCTGTCCATGGACTTTTCCAGGCAAGAATACTGGAGTGGGTTGCCATTTCCTTCTCCATGATTTCTTATTTTTAAGTGAATTAATATTTTCTACATTTTTCAGTTTTCATTTCAAATTTGGTGAATATTGATTTATGTAACCTATGTAGGCAAAAGATCTGGAATCCTTAATTATTTTTAAGAGTGTAAAAGGGTGCTGAAGTCAGAAAGTAGGAGAATCACTGTCTGTAGGCATCCTTTATAATGAATTAATTTTTCCTTTGCCACTAGAATGATACTGTATTTATACTTACCTTTGAAAGAATTGAGAAAATAGTCACCCAGATCATTTTCTATCTTTGTGGTTCACCATGAGTGACTGATGGAAGGAAGAGAAAGTAACCAGAGGGACAGTGTTTCTTTACATAGAGTGGTTATCTCTTTTTAGGAAGCAGTGTTGAAACTGAGTCCTGAATGAAGAGATGTGTCTTCTGGGAAGATTTGAGGGGAAATGCTCCTGGCCATATAATAGGTAGTACAGAGCCCCTTGTACAAACAGGATTGGCGTACTTATAGATTAGTGTGGCCTGAATTGCTGGAGGAGAATAAACAAGAGAAAGAGTAATATAACATTAGGCCAGAGAGAGGCAGCCAGGGGCCAGATCATGTTGGGCCTAATTGCACTAGGAAGCCAGAGAGTTTTGAGCACGAGGAGGGATGTGATCTGATTAGAAAACGCTCACTTAGACTGTTATGTGAAAAGAAATGGTTTGCTCAGAACAGGGGTTGGGGGCACAAAATAGAGGAAGGGAAATGAGTTAGGAGACAGCTGCTGTTGACTGAGAGTTATTTGTGGTGGAGACAGAATGGGTCAAATCCGTGTTGTTTTGGAGCTAGAACTGGCAGGAGGTTTATTAATTAGATATGGGCAACAAGAGAAGTACAAGGTGATTCTTGGTTTTATGGCCTGAGTAGTTTGTAAAGATGGTAAAGATAAGTTGTTAGAGAGCATTGAAGGTTCTGATTTGAATGTTTAGGTTTTTTTATTCTAAGGTAGGAGTCTTTGGAGTTAGTGGTATCTGGTTACCAGTAATTCTCTGTAGAAAAATATCCTGAACATTTTTCTTTCTTCTTTTTTTTTCCTCAAAAAGTTTTCCTATTATGGAAGTTACATCTGTTGCCATAGAAAATTTGAAAAATACAGAAATATGTAAATAAAATAAAGATCAACTGATCTCAGAGATAACAGCTGTAACATTTTAGTGTATTTCTTTCAAAACATGTACACACTTAGTTCTTATTATATATATAATTAAGAATCATAACCTAGTGTTGTATTCTGCCTTGTTGTTTTCAATGTTTCTATTACTAGAAATACTAGAATGAACATCTTTTTTATGTAACACCCTTTGTTTACATGTTCAATCATTTCCTGACATCAAATTCTGGAAATTCTGTTAGAATCAAAAGGTACGAGCGTTTGTAAGGCCTTTGACGTTTATTGACAGTTTTCCTCCCAGAAAAGTTTTACCATGGTTTCCATAATGGCAACTTAGAAGAATGTCCGTTTCACCACATCCTTATTAATAATTGTCCATTTTTAATTTTTGCCAATCTGATAAATAAAACATTGTATCTATTTTAAGTTGTATTTTTATTTAAAAAAAAATTTTTATCTACTTATTTTTTCCTGTGTTGGGTCTTCATTATTGCACAGGGGCTTTCTCTAATTGCAGTGAGTGGGGGTTATTCTCTAGTTGCGGTGCATGGGTTTCTCATTGCAGTGGCTTCTTTTGTTGAAGAGCACATGTCCTGGAACATGCAGGCTTCAGTAGTTGTGGCATGGAGGCTCAGTAGTTGCAGCTTGAGGGCTCTACATCTCAGACTCAGTTGTTGTGGCACATTGGTTTAGTTGCCCTGTGGCATGTGGAATCTTCCCTGACCACCAGGGAAGTCCTAAGTTGTAATTTTAAATTGAACTTTTCAATTTCATTTGTATACTGGCTATTTGAGTTGTTTCGTGAATTGCTTGTTCATTTATGGTGCATCTCTTACATGCAGACACCATGATGACTGCTAGAAAAATAAGCCCATGTTAGCTTATTTTTCTTACTGATTTGTAAGAACTAATTATACATTCTCATTAACTCTTCTCCTGTCATACATGTTGCAGTTATGGTTTTCCAGGTTTAATTTTTTGTTTGCCTTTTAATTTTGCTTATGACAGTTTTTAACATACAGAATTTTTTTTATAAGTTCAAATGTATATATAATCAACTCTTTCTTTTTCTTTTCTGTATTATTCCTTCCACTCCATTTATCTTTAGAAAATTTTACCCCTTCAAATATTAATAACAAACTATATTTTATTCTAATTTTATACTTTATTAAATAAAGTCTAGGTTTTGAATTCTTTCCTTATGATTATGAAATTTTTCTAATGATCAAGATTAGCATATTTTCCTATCTAGCACTTCTCATTTTACTATACTATCAAAAGTATTGGTATTTAAAGATTCCAATTGATTCCTCACTTCAGGTTTTACAGACATTTCACCAGAGGAGTTGAGACTTGAATACCATAACTTCTTAACCAGCAATAACTTACAGAGTTATGTAAGTTTGTTTCCTATTTATCTAACTAACAGATTAGCTGTTAATTATTGTCTTCTCTATAGTGGCTCACTTGTATGTTGGCAAAGTGGATGAAGTCTGTTTTTCAGAAGACTATTTTTATATTCTAAATTATTTTCTTTACAATTGGTTGGTTATCTAAAGTGATGAGAATATACTTTGACTGTAGTAACTACCGATGCTTTTATTTTTATTACCAATTATCCAGAAATCATACCCTTTCATCATTTGACAGACATTTATGGTGCATCTCTTACATGCAGACACCATGATGACTGCTAGAAAAACAAATAAGATGCAGTGTTGTGTGCAGATTAGCCTTCTCATGTATCAAGTATCAAAAAATTGAAAAACTGGGTAAGAATAAGTTTAGTGCTTAAAGGAAATGACATAAACTCTGTATTTTTCTTTTGTCTACTGTCAATATCATATATTTTGACCAGGACACATGTTTGTCTCCCATCCAAATATAACTATTAATAACTTTGTGCTGCCAGGTACTTGGGATCTTAACTAGGAGATACAAGGAGCTGGAGATAGGGAAAGGGAAAGGGGTCTACAGCAAGAGTGTCTGTGGCAAGTAGGAGTAGGTCAATGCAAATTTTACAAGTTATGGGCCATAAAAATACTTTATAAATTTATTGTGACTTTGGAAATAAAGACATGAAGTTGTTGAAGAGATTACCTTAAACACTCAATACTGACACATTATTTTTCTGTCCTCTTTCTTCAGCTAAATTCTGTCCAGCAGTTAATAAATCAGTGGAGGAACAGGGTGAATGAACTGAAAAGTCTAAATACATCAACTGCAATAGCTTTGGTGAGTATTGGAGAATTTTCTACAGGGAAGTATCTATTGCCTTTATGAAACAAAACTATAATTCTCTGTCAAGAATTATGATACACACATTCTCAAGAACCATAATATATTATCATTTGGAGTCAAGGTTCTGGAATTCCTTTCTCTCTGTTCCTTAGTCAGAAAAGCAGAGATAATTATGCTTTTCTAAAACTATTCTTAGGATTAGGTTCTTAATTTTGGTAGTACTAGTTTTCAAAATTGGGAAATATAAATTCAAGTATTCCAGCTTATCAGCATTTAAAAAGAAATTGCTTTGAAAAATGATATGAATGCACATTTTAAAATTTATTTATTGACTGCACTGGGTCTTAGTTTTGGCACATGGTATCTCCGTTTCAGCACGTAGACTCTCTGGTTGAGGCATGTGGGCTTAGTTTCCCCGTGGTGTGTGGGATCTTAGTTCCCCAACCGAGGATGAATCTGCATCCTCTGCATTGGAAGGCAGATTCTTAACCACTGGACCACCAGGGAAGTCACATGTAGACTAATACACACTTTGGTGACTAAAGGACACTTACCATAAGTTCCTGTCTTATACAGAAATGCTGTTAGGAGATATATATGCACTTGTCCCCAAAGATGCATGATACTACTGCAGCATATTCATTATCTCTGTTGATAAAGTTTATTTTTCTACCCCCATAAAATGTTCTTAAGAGCATTATTTTTAAATAAAATATTTATGTTTAGAATTTAATATTTCCAGTTTCCTAGGTGATTTTTCTTTGTACTTTGTGAAAAAAGCTATGAGAATAGTAGCTGCCTGAACTTAGTGAATGACTGAAAGTCCCAATACCCTACTCCTTAAATATCTGCTTGTAAATGACTAGACTCTTGTGCAAGCTGGTTTCTTCTGCCTTTCAGTTGTTGTCATGCCATTTGAATTCAGTAGGACTTCTTGGAAGTATTTTTTCTCTAGATGAGAGGTGGCCCACCGTCGCCAATGCTAATGTGGAAGGGGTAACTGAGTTCAGAGAACTAGGGAGCTTCCTTCAGGGTTGGAAGTTCTGTGTTCTTTGACAGCTTCCAAGGGGCCCTTCTGTAGGTGAGAATCTTGAATAGCTCACCTACGACTGGCTTACCATGCATCAATTCTTTATGTCCAATTATTCTTTTAATCCATTATATGGATATAATTTGTTTATCCACATTCCTTATATGATAATTTGTTTATCACACAAGCTGAGAGAGAGAAGCTAGCCCCCCCCCCCCCCCCAAGAAAAAGCTATGATTCTGTTTATATGAAACTCTAGAAAAGACAAACCTCATTTCTAGTAATAAAAAGTGGATGAGTGGTTCCCTGGGACCAGAGGTTGGGAGAGGGTTGCCTGGAAATGGACACACAATAACTTTTATGGGTGATGGGAATATTCTAAATATTGATTGTAGTGATAGTTATAAATTTATGAAAACTCATTGAAAAATAAATTTTTCAATGGGTGCATCTTATTTTATGTAAACTATACCTCAATAAAGTTGAGTTTTAAAAAATGCTGGGGACTTCCCTGGTGGTCCAGTGGCCAAGACTGCATTCCCAATGCAGGCAGCTGGGGTTCTGTACCTGGTTGAGGAGCTAGATCCCGTATGCTGTAACTAAAGGATCCTGAGTGCCACAACTGAGACCCAATGCAGCCAAATAAATTATTTTTTAAAAACAATGCCAATAGGGTTTTCAAATGAGAGAAATAATATATGCTTGTATTAATGAGGAAGGACTTATTAGAGGTCAGAATTAAGTGAAAAGTTCATTGAAAAGGAGATTAAGATTTCAATAAGCAGAGATGAAAGATATTTCTATAGCAGAAAATAGCAAGAACATAAAATATTTTAAGGGAATAGGGAATGTTTAATAGAGTTTACTGGTAAGCTTTTAGTAATGTAATTGTGAATTAACTTTGAGTCAAGCATTTGAGTAAGTCAACTGGGGTAGCCTCTAAAGGTCCCTTACCTTGTATCTAGGTTTCTTGATTAATGCACATCAACCTGTAGACACTGAAATCTAGAATTAAAAAGTATTTTTCTGATTTTAATATGTGTTCACTGAAGACATTTAGAAAATGTTTTAAAAGCATAAATAAAATTAAAAACACTTACAATTCATCAGCCAGACAATCACTCTGCACTCTCTGAGAAAGGCCCAGTTTTTCTTTGCATATTCACTTGTGGGCATTTTTCTATGTTAAACAAAATGAAGACATTTTAGAGTGCACATTTGAAAAATTTAATTTGGCTAAAAGTGTACAGAAAAAGTACGTGAGAATTATTCACTTGCCTACCTCTTTTTTAATAGCTCTCCGATTTACAGGATGGAGTGAATCAAGCAGCACCTTCATTTGGTTTTGGCAATAGGCAAACAGTAACATTTGGGTCACCAGGTAAGTGACAGAGTCATGCAAGACTTGACTGATTTAGAAAAATGGGATTTTATGGGTTTCAAATTCAAAGCTTGAAGGTGTCTCTAGTGCCATTTTAAGTCACCCTTGCAAATTCTACCACCTTCCATAATAGAGCTTTAAAGAATTTGGCTCATCTAGCATTTGTGAAATGGTGTCCAGAATGGGCACGTTCTTTGAAAGACTCTATGGCTCAGGTTTTAGATGTATATTTTAGGAATGGTTTTTCTAGAGTTTCATAGGACTACGTAGCTATGGTAGCAGCACCTATGAGGACTTTCTTGTTCCTATTCATAACAGCATAGTTTTGTCTTCAAGTGACAGCTCCAGTGAGAGGAAGAGGACAAGCTGAAGTGAAGGTTCACTCCCTAATCCCTGAGATTTCTCAAGAGCTACCTTCTTAATGTAAGTTAGAGTGCAAATAGATCAGTGTAGCGGAAAGACAGGCCAACAGAGTTTAGTGAGTTTGTCCTAACTTCTCATTTTCACTTTTCTTCCATCCAGTAAGTTTCTCATCATCTAAACATGGCAGAAATAAGAACAAAAAAAGATGGGGGCAAGGTAGTAATATAGCTACATTTTTTGACTAATAGTTTCTTTTTTCTTTTTCTGGTTTTTGTAGGTTTTCCAGTGAATAACAGCAGCAGCAGCAGTGCTCAGAATTTTAGTTTTAAACCAAGCTCTGGATTTGCTACAGCCCCTTCTGGAAGTCCTGCTGTGTTTGGGAATACTCCAGCATTTGGAGCTGTACCCGCTGCCAGTTCTGCCATCCCTGCCGCTACTCCGACTTTTGGCCTTCGGAAACCCGAAATCACATCTGCTGCTTCATTTTCATTTAAAACCCCTGCAGCTTCTGGTTTTGGATCATCTGGATTTTCAGGATTTTCGCCTTCTATGGCAGCAAGCCCTGTTGAATCTCCAGTGGCCCCAGCCTTTGGAAGTGGCAGTTCTGCAGCTGGTTTTGGTAGTTCAGGCTCACCGCCTCACACTGCTTTCTCTAAGTCATCCAGTGACACTTTCGGAAACAGCAGTGTACCCACTTCTCTCTCTTTCTCACTTGGCAGCACCACAACAGATAATGCGTTATTCACACCCAAGGATCAACTAACAGCAGAAGAACTGGAACAATTTCAATCCAAGAAGTTTACTCTGGGAAAAATTCCATTAAAGCCACCACCTGTGGAACTTCTAAATATTTAAAAGGGCAACTTTAAATACAGAAAAGAACAGCTTTTAAAATTGTTTTGAGTGGTTCATATGAAAGAGGAGGAATACACACACACACATGTGTATATGCATATATATGCATATATATTTATAAAAAGTATAAATTTTCAATAATAACATTAGGAGTTCTTAAATTTAACATTTTTTCCTTGACTCTAGCTATTTAAGTACAACAACAAAAAATACTCAGCAACAGATTTTTTCTTTTTTTTTTTTTACTGTAATGATGAACTGAAAAACCTGTCAGGGTACACTGAATAAAGTACTTTTCTCATTCTGTATCACTTTATACTGTCTTACCATTTAAAATTTTACCTTTAAACTTTTTTTTTTTTTTTTTTTTAAGGAAAGAGATAGGAAAGGAGAGAGAAAGAAAGAAGGGAACAAAAAAGTAATATTTGAATGGCATAACATTTTTTTAAAATTAATGTACCATCCATTTAAAATTTTACCTTTAAACTTTTTTTTTTTTTTTTTTTTTTTAAGGAAAGAGATAGTTTCAAGAACCGATAGGGAAAAAATGCTTAAATGTTTAGTCTGCCTGCTGAATAAACATCAGCAGCATGGTGACTTTCTTTTGTGTTAAAGAAGATTCTCTTAAAGAGAGAAATGTAATTTTTAAAGGGTAAAAGCTTTTATTTTTAGTAACTAAGAAGCATTTTTGCCTCATAATTTTTCCTCCTCAGTTTTGGCTATCTCATGAACGATTTGAGTTTTTGTCAACAATTTCATGCTAGTTTTTATCTTGGCCTAATTTTTATGTAATTCTATTTTTTCCTCACATTGTCTCATCAAGTGGATGGATTGTTAAGAGGACTAGAAATTATGATCTTATGTAGATGAAGAGCATATGTGTATATATATATATCCTTTGTAGATGCATAAGACATTCTGGAAGAATAAGAAACTTGCTAATAATGATTACCACTGGGAAAAGAATTGGTGTCCAAGTTAGGAGAAATACTTTATATACCATTTTGAACTGTTTGAATATTTTACCATGTATATGTGGTACTTTGTTTTTTTAATTAAAAGAAGATCACGAAAAATTAGGAAACTTTTTCCAATTAAACATTATTGGCAAGTTTAATAATATGTATGATCAAGCTAGTTTTTCAGGATGCATTTTTGAAAAGAATTTTTTTTAAAATAAGTATTCAAGATGCATCTTCTCTAGGCTTTTTTCTTTTCAAGTAACAGAGAAGTAACTTTATAACTGGAAAAAGGTCATTGAAGAACAAGTCTAGGCTTTCTTCCACCTCCATTTACATTATTAAGGTATGCTCATTCCTTTTGGTGTATTTCTTAAAACCTTTTTATAAAATATGCTTATTATAACAACGTTGGAAACTTACAACAAGGAAATTAAAATTATCAGTAATCTCTTCCCCCCAAGAATAGTGTATATAGAGGGATGAGGATTCACCAGCTGTTTTTCTAGAGTTTCTATTAGAATTTTCAGATGTGTTTGGGTCTCTCTGTATCCTCAGGTTGAAGGAGTAGTATCTTATATATATGGTTGATCCAAACAGCCAGAGACGTCATTAGTTGAAGCATACGTGTCAAGAGTTCTGTGTTCCTTTTTCAAGCCTCAGAAAATATATAACTAGCATTGCGAGAACAGTTTCTTTACACAGATCAGGTGTTGAACTGTTTTTCTGTTTGTTTTTTTTTAACGTCAGACGGGTAATGTGCCCGTGTCGTAACAAGGTTTGGAGGGAGGCACATGTGACGCAGCAGCATGAACACCCAATCATCATGCTCATGAACTACAAAAGGATCTGAACTGATGTTTAAGTGAAAATCTTACCTATTAAAGATATATGTACCACATGATTTTAGCATATATGCAAAGGATTTGGTCCTCAGGGGATCCAGATTCTCTGTTACACTCTTTGAAGAACTTTATGACTCTAAGTTTTGGAACCCCAGCATTCCAAATAAGAGGTGTATGTTTGAATTTTAGTATATGTGCTGCCGAAGCAAGCACGAGGTGTATGTTTGAAACCATCCTTGGTATAGAGATGATTAGACCCTAAGTTCCTGTTTTGATTTCAAGTTCTTTATAAGGACTTCGCAATGTTTGGTTTTTTTTTTTCAACTTACAGTTGACTCCTAGAGTTCTCCTACCCTGATGGAATGAACCCTGCATAAAGGTAGATTAAGTTTCAAGACCCTAAAAAGGAGTGGAAGGGAAGAGGCAACCAAAAGGTACAAGATTTAGATTTATTCAGTGAGGCAAGAACCAATTCTGACAGAGTTGGTCATATTGAAAGTATACTCCCAAATAGGCACAGACAGACCCATTTCACAGCTTCTACAACAGCTGCCCCTTTTCCCTAGGACTTAGAGGAAGGGACAGAATTGCATAAGGTTTTATTACAAGTAAAATGATCTAACTAGCTTGATTATTTGATCAAGAAGGATAGAAGTATAACAGCTGAGAGCTAATTAGAAAGGGAGAGAGAAGCTGATATTAAAACTATTTAAAAGGTATAATATGGTTTAGCTACAGAGTATGTATTGTTCAAGTATTGTTCATAAGAGTAAAAGAATCCAATCTGTTGTCCAACAACAGGAAATTGGTTAATCTGGTAGATTCATATATTGAAGTACAGCTTTTCTAAATGACCTGGGTTTCACTCTGTAATCAATGGGCAAAAGCTTGCTATTTATTTATTATTATTTTATTATTATTACTCTAATTGCACTGACTGGGACACTCAGTTCTGTGTTGAATAGTAGTGGTGAGAGGGGGCATCTTTGCCTTGTTTCTGATCTTAAAGGAAAAACTTTCTTTCATGATTGAATATGATATTAGCTGTGGCCTTTTCATGTATGGCTTTTATTATGTTGGAGTAGGTTCCTTATTTTCCCCAGTTTGTTGAGTGTTTTTATCATGAAAAAGTTTTTACTTTGTCAAATGTTTTTTTATGCATCAGTTGAGATGATCATATGGGTTTTGTCCTCCATTTTGTTAATGTGTATTTATATTGATTGATTTTTTATGGTGAACCATCTTTGCATTCCAGTTACAAATCCCACTTAATCATGTGTAAATACTTTTAATGTGCTGTTGAATTCAGTATACTAGTATTTTGTTGAGGATTTTTGTATCATTATTCATCAGGAATATTTGCCTACAGTTTTCTTATGTCTTTTTTTTCTGGTTTTGGTATCAGAATAATGCTGGCTTCATACAGTGAGTTTGGGGATGTTCCCTCCTCTTCAGTTCTCTGAAAAGATTGGTATTAATTCTTTAATTGTTTGATAAAATCCTTCAGTGAAGTCATCTTGTCCTGGTTGGGCAGTGTTTGATTACTGCTTTAGTCTCCTTACTGTAGGTCTGTTCAGATTCTTTACTACTTGATGCTTTAGTTTTGGTAGTTTGTATGTTTCCAGGAATCAGCCCATTTCTTCTAGGTTATCTAATTTGTTGATATTTAATTGTTCGCAGTAATCTTTTATAAAAATCTGTTTTTATTTCTGTGACATCAGTTATAATATCCATTCTTTTGAATCTAATTTAGTTATTCAAATCTTTTAGCTCTTTTTCTTAGTTAATGTAGCTAAGGATTTGCCAATTTTTATGGTCTTTTTAAAAGACCATGTCTTAGTCTGCTAATGCCACCATAATAAAACACCATAGACAGGGTAGCTTAAAAAATAGACATTTATTTCTCTCAGTTTTGGAGCCTTGAAGTCCATGTCAGGGTGCCAGCATGGTCAGTTCTGGTGAGAACCCTTTTCCTAGCTTGCAGATAGCTGCCTTCTTGGGTACTAAGATGGCCTTTTCTTGGTACATGTGCATGAAGAAATAGATTTCTCTCTCTTCCTCTTCTTACAAGGCCACTAATCTCGTCATGAGGTTGCCATCCTCATGACCTAATTTAAACTAATTATCTCTCAAAATACCCCCACCTCCAAATACCATCACTTTGGTGGTTAGGGCAGCAACATATGAATTTGGGTAAAGGACACAAACACTCAGTTGGTTTTATTGGTTATTGATTTTTCCACTGTTTTTCTATTCTCTATTTCATTTACTCTCCTTTCATCTTTATTATTTCTTCTGCTAAAGTTAGTTTTTTTTCAAAGTATAAAATTAGATTATTGATTTGAGATCTTTCTTCTTTTTAATGCAAGCATTTATCTCTGTAAAGTCCTCTCTTATCACTGCTTTTGCTTTCTTATCACTGCTTTTGCCTAGGTTTTGATGTGTTGTATTTTGTTTTCATTTATCTCTAAGTATTTTCTAAGTTCCCTGTGGTTTATTCTTTGACCCATTGGTTGTTTAAGAATGTGTTGTTTAGTTTTCACATATTTGTGTTTTTATCTTCTGCTGTTGACTTCTAGTTTCATTCCATTGTGGTCAGAGAAGATACTTGATATGATTTCAATCTTCTTAAATTTGTTAAGACTTGTTTTGTGGCCTAATATGTGGACCGCCTTGCAGAACAACCATGTGTACTTGAAAAAAATGTGTATCCTGCTGTTCTTGGGTGAAGTGCTCAGTATATGTTTGGTTCCGCTATTCTATAGTGTTAAGTCCTCTGTTTTTTTTTAATTGATCTCCTCTTTGTTCTATCCGTAACTGAAAGTGAAGTATTGAAATATGCTACTGTTACTATGTTGCTGTCTATCTCTCCCTTCAGTTCTGTCAATGTTTGCTTTATATATTTGGGAGTTCTAATGTTAGGTGCATGTACATTATAATTGTTATATCTTCCTGGTGAACTGATGCTGTTATTATATAATGTCCTTCTTTGTCTCATATAATAGTTTTGGTTTTAAAGTCTGTTTTATCTTAGTATGGCCACTTCTCCTCTCTTTGGATGCTTGTTTTCATGGAATATTTTTCCATCCTTTTAGCCTATGTGTATCTTTAGATCTATAGCATGCCTCTTGTAGACAACCTATTAGTTGGTTCTTATTTTTTATCCATTTAGCCCATCTGTGTCTTTTAATTAGTATATTTATTCTATTACATGTAAAGTAATTACTGACAGGAAAAGACTTACTATTGCCATTTCGTTCGTTGTTTTCTGTATATGCTATAACTTTTTTGTTCTTCCTGCTCCCTTATTTTGTGCTTTGCTGGTTTTTGTTGTTGTTGTTGTTGTTAGTGACACATTTTGATTCCCTTCTCATTTCCCTTTGTGTATATTCTATAATTTCTCTGTGGTTACTGATGGAATTACATACAGTGTTTTAAAGTTATAATATATTTTAAACATACTTTAACTTCAGTCACATAAAAACTGCTCCATTTCAGTTCTGCCTTACCCACTTTATGTTTTTAAGAAAGATTACCTATTTTAATATTGCATGTTTATTAACATAGATATATAATTACTTTTTATGCTGCTTTTGTGTTTTAAATTCCATCCCAGATTTAAAAGTGATTTATGCAGTTACATTACAACACTACATAGTTATAAATTTATCTATATTTTTACCTTTGCGAGGGAGTTTTATATTTTTGTCTGATTTTCGTTGCTCTTCATCATCCTTCTGTTTTAACTTGAAGGACTCCCTTCAGCATTTCTTTTTTTTTCCCCAGCCTGTTTGTTTTCTGTTGATACCACAATGATCAGATCTTGACCATGTACGTCCACAGTGGTCACAACCATTCCTTCCATTGCTGCTGTGTGGTCTTCAAATTCTCCCCATGCATATTGAGCTGGCAGTGCATAGCACATGTTTTCTTGGGCTGCAATTCCAGGGGCTTGTACTTTGTGCTCTTGTAGAATTTCCTAAGATTCTGTTTCTGAGTCTGATTAATGGTAGTGAGAACAAAGGCAATAGATTTGCAAACAACTCGAGTCTTAAGAGAGTTTGGATGTTGTGCTGCCTGGCAGTTCAGAGACATGCAGCTGGTACAGCTCCACCTTCAGGTCATCCATCGGTTTCAGCAACTCATCTTTCTAGCCTGGAAGTCTCAAGACAATCTTGGCTATGGCTGTACAAGGTTGTTTTTAAAGTACGAAACAGGGCCTGGCCTGGCCTGGCCTGTCAGGGCACGGGTGGCGGCGGCTCCAGCACCATGTCCCTGCCGTACGGGGCGGAGGAGACGCCCCTCGCCGGCAGTTACGGTGCGGCGGATTCCTTCCCAAAGGATTTCGGCTACGGCGTGGAGGAGGAGGAAGAGGAGGCGGCAGCCACGGGCGGCGGGGTTGGGGCGGAGGCCGGAGGAGGCTGTGGCCCGGGGGGCGCTGACAGCTTCAAGCCGAGGATTCTGCTCATGGGCCTCCGGCGCAGCGGCAAGTCCTCCATCCAGAAGGTGGTGGTTCATAAAATGTCACCTAATGAGACCCTCTTTTTGGAAAGTACCAACAAGATTTACAAAGATGACATTTCTAATAGCTCCTTTGTGAATTTCCAAATATGGGATTTTCCTGGGCAAATGGACTTTTTTGACCCAACTTTTGACTATGAGATGATCTTCAGGGGAACAGGAGCGTTGATATATGTCATTGATGCACAGGATGACTACATGGAGGCTTTAACAAGACTTCACATTACTGTTTCTAAAACCTACAAAGTTAACCCAGACATGAATTTTGAGGTTTTTATTCACAAAGTTGATGGTCTGTCTGATGATCACAAAATAGAAACACAGAGGGACATTCATCAAAGGGCCAATGATGACCTTGCAGATGCTGGGCTAGAAAAACTCCACCTTAGCTTTTATTTGACTAGTATCTATGACCATTCAATATTTGAAGCCTTTAGTAAGGTGGTGCAGAAACTTATCCCACAGCTACCAACCTTGGAAAATCTATTAAATATCTTTATATCAAATTCAGGTATTGAAAACGCTTTTCTCTTCGATGTTGTCAGCAAAATCTACATTGCAACAGACAGTTCACCTGTGGATATGCAGTCATATGAACTTTGCTGTGACATGATTGATGTTGTAATTGATGTGTCTTGTATATATGGGTTAAAGGAAGATGGAAGTGGAAGTGCTTATGACAAAGAGTCCATGGCCATCATCAAGCTGAATAACACAACTGTCCTGTATTTAAAGGAGGTGACTAAATTTTTGGCACTGGTTTGCATCCTTAGGGAAGAAAGTTTTGAAAGAAAAGGTTTAATAGACTATAACTTCCATTGTTTCCGAAAAGCTATTCATGAGGTTTTTGAGGTGGGTGTGACTTCTCACAGGAGCTGTAGTCCCCAGACCAGTGCCCCCAGCCTGAAAGCGTTGACACACAACGGCACACCACGAAATGCCATCTAGCCTGGACGCCAGCGATCGGGGCTCTGTGCCAGCTTATTCTTCACTCCAGGGTCAGATGCCACGTGCTACAGGACATGGGAGTTGCCGCTTATGGGAACCTGGTACCTGTCCCTCTAGAGACAAGGGGTAGAGTTTCTCATTTGGATGAAAACCCCTTCAGCCAGTGGTGTGCAACTGAAGCTACTATTTCTTTAAAAAAAAAAAAAGGCAAAAAAGAATTCCAGAGACCACAGAAGTGTGTGTCTTTCTCCTCTTGGGGGCCCTACTTTAAGTAGTTGGAATGTCTTGGACCTGGAGATAACAGCCCTTAACCTGTCCTTACCAGGGAATGTTGCCATCAAATACCAGTTGAAAATAATAGAAAGAACTGAATTTTTATATGCCTCACTTAGATTTTCATTTGAGTAGTCTCTAAAAATCCTGCCTCTCTTAAGTTCTAACACTGCCTCTCAGATTTCAATTTTGGACCTTGCACACCTCAGACCTTCTAAATGCATTTGCTTGCTAACTCAGAAGACACATGGTCTGACTACAGCAAAAAAGGACATTCCTGTATTGGTTTCTGAAGAAATGAGAAAATTTTGTGCTGCATCAAGTCAAGAGCAAGTCTCCAACAGTGGCTGCTGCGTTCGTTCCCTCTGAAGTGTTGAAGAACAAACTTTGAGACAAGAAAATTTTGCACCTGTGTTTTGGATACCAGATACCTGGGTTCCTTCCCTCACATTTGATAAATGATTCTGATCACTGTTTTTAAAAAAAGGGAATTAAAAAAGTTGTTTTTCCCACAATCTCTTCCTCCTCTTAGGAGAAAAACTCGTGTCATTGAAATATTTAGCTCATTTTTCTTTAAACTTGATACCAGTCCCCACATACCTTTTATTCTAAACTGTTGAGATTCTTTTAAGAATTGCTGTTTTGTTGACCCTAAATGACCCAAAGGCACTGGTGGACTGTCCATTGGGGGTTGAAGAGAGCATATGACACCCTGACATGTGTTGTTAAACATACTTCATCTCCAGTGTTCCGACACCAAGTGTCAGCTGTGGTACTTTCTTCACCTAGGATATTGATTTATAGTTGTCTTTTTTGTTGAAGGTTGATACCCTTTTCATTGACTTAAACTTATACATTACTTTTACTCCACATGCCCAGTTGTTATATATTCCAAAGCCACTGGACCACTTGAGTACATAAGTGCCACTGTTATATGAAATGTGTGTATTCAGGTCTGTAAACCTGTAAACCAGGTGTGACTTGGAGTGCTTCCTGCAGGTGATTCTGACTGTTGAGTACTTACATGGACCATGGTGATATCCAAAAGAAAAATGCTTTTATATTTATAGGTTATTTCATTGAACTATATAAAATGGGTATCAATAAATGTATTTACTCCAAAAAAAAATAAAGTAAAATAAAGTACGAAACAGATGAATGAAGACATTTTCTTTATCCAGACATTAGTTTATGTTAAAAATTATTGCAGAAGAAACTTAAGAGGTCTGACTTCAATAATATTCATCAGATTAATACAATTTGATCAAACCAATAATACTTGGCAAATTAATATAACAAAATACCACTTCCTGTCTATTGGCAAAAATCAGAGTCTTGCAATGATGGTGTTAATGAAGATGTGGTATTTTGGAGACTGTTGTGAGCTGCTGACTGGAGTGTGGATGGGTGTAGGCACTTCGGAGACAGTTTGGCAATATCTAGTAACATTAAAGATGATCATCCTCTACAATCTAGAAATTTTTACTCCTCTTCAAGGCCCTTGCTCCTTGAAGTGTGGTCCTAGGACCAGCAGCATCAACATCATCTGGGAACTTATTACATAAGTAGAATCTCAAGCCTCATCCCAAAGCTACCAAATCAGAGTCTCTATTTTTATGATATTTATGGGAGGATGGTATACACATGAATATTTGAGAAACTACTGCATGTGGGAAAAGGAGACATATAAAACTAAGTAGTACTATTCATAGTAGCAAAATATTGGAAACAATCAGAAGTTCATGCACAAGGTAACAGATTCACTTTGGTATAATGTGATACATCTGTAAAACTTAAGTTACACATATAAACAGCCAAAAAAGCACAGGTGGTTTAATATACCACTGAAAATAGAGTATAAAACAATACTATATGTTGTTTATAAATTTATAAACATAGTAAAGGAATAACAGCCTGAGAAAATTAGCACCAGATTCAGAATAGAGTTTGTCCAGGAAAGGGGGAAAAAAGAATGAGATTTAGAAGGCATATATAGGGAGCATTGTATCTGTGATTTTTTTTAATTTTATTTATTTATTTAATTAAAACATTATGACAATAGTAGAATTTTATAGAGTGGGTGGTGAGTACATTATATTATTTTCTATGTTTTTCCATATACTTTAAACACATTTACAAATTTTTAAAGATTTAATTTAGAAAAAAAGAAGTCTTCTTTCCCACCCTAAATTGTATTATAAAGTTGCTTTTAGATTTCTGAAGTAATCACTATGAGTTGAGTAGTTTGTCAGATTGTTTCCAAATCTTGAATTAAATATTCCACTCTGATGATACTTGTCATTCTAGTACTAAAGTACAAGGAGTACAACTGCTCTAAAGAACAACGGACTGTGGATATAGACCACGTTATTTTTGCTGCTAATGAAATCCTGAAAGTAATTCAAATATTTGTGGAGCAAAATGGGAATTATTTTTGATTCACTTGTTTGGGAAAGAATATGTGTTTATCTCTCTACTTATACCTGACGAGGAAGATAATGTAGATATAACTGGATACCTTGAGGTTCTTTTTTCAACCACATATTATCAACCAGCTGGAAATCTATTCTTTTTTTTTTTGAAATCTATTCTTATTTACTTGGTCACTTATAATGTAAGCGGCATTTAACCCTGTTAGCTCTGAAACAGAGAAATAGAGGAATTATATATATATATATATATATTGTAAACACAGTAAGTATCAAGCTTTTTCATTTGGAAAACTTCTAGTGATTCTATATGACTCACACCTCCCCTACACTAAGGAAAAAAAATCAAAAGAAGACATGACTATATTGGAATTATTAATTCAGAAGCTACTCAACTGAAGGACATTTATATACATAATTCAGTAGAGAAAACATATAGTGCCATGTAAGAAAAAGTTTGCTTGATTTACAGGAATTGATGATCATCAATATTAAGGACTCACCAAGTGCACTATTACATTAAGGATTCAGTCCTAAAATCTACTGAGAAGGTTTAGAAACAGGCTATGAAGGATTATCATAAGTTCTAAACAAAGTGTCAAGTTCCTCACCTGGAACTCCTCCTCAAAAATGAATGAGAATCAGTTCAGTTCATTCACTCAGTGGTGTTCGACTCTGCGACCCCATGGACTATAGCACACCAGGCTTCCCTGTTCATCACCAACTCCCAGGGATTACTCAAACTCCTGTCCATTGAGTCGGTGATGCCATCCAACCATCTCATCCTCTGTCGTACCCTTCTCCTCCTGCCCCCAATCTCTCCCAGCATCAGGGTCTTTTCCAGTGAGTCAGCTCTTCACATAAGGTGGCCAAAGTGTTGGAGTTTCAGCTTCAGCATCAGTCCTTCCAATGAACACCCAGGACTGATCTCCTTTAGGACTGACTGGTTGGATCTCCTTGCAGTCCAAGGGACTCTCAAGAGTCTTCTCCAACACCACAGTTCAAAAGCATCAAT